TCAGCGGGGCAGGCATTTGAATAGCCGGTGCAGCTCCAATCATCGTCTGGGTGGTACTAATGTGCTTCTCCTTCTCTGACACCATGTAAAAAGTCGGTCCTTCACGGACAAAACGTATATTCTGCAAACAAAAGGACCAGGCGAAAACGCAGACAGAGGGCGAGTGTAACATATCGGTATACACAGCTAGTTGGATCCATAATTAACGACCTTTGTGAATGCATGACATTTTTCCTTTGATTCAGTCAAACAAACTCACTCCAATGCGTCCAACTGTTGGCCAATCAGCGTGCATGCGAGAAACGTGTGAACGTCCAATCAGTTGCCGCCTTTCCTTGCGGCAGCCTAACGGCTTCCTTGCTGGGCTGGCACCGCACGTTCGTTCGAGTGTATACTCCCATTACACCCGGTTTCAAATATCCACTCCGTAAACTTCCTCTCGACTTCACAATGGCCGGGGAGAAGTGCAGCCTCAGGCCACTGTAGTCGGGGTACGTTGAAGTCGCCCATGAGTAGGAACAGCTGACGACTCATGTGGCTGCGGACATGCGGCAACCAGTCCAAGCAGCGGCTCAGTGGACTGCCATATACCACGCCTACGAGCATCTCGCAGTGTCTGAGGTATTGAAGCCCGCACCCCGGACCACCGAGGTTCATCCCGGAGTCGCTTCCTACGCGTAGCCCAACAACAGTTTTACAAAGTGTATCACTGGATTCGTAAGTGTGTCAGATCAGAAAATGTCTCCAACCAATGTTGTGGTCAATTCATCCATCCAGGGAGACCTCGCACGTGCATCACAATACTCTTCGTTTCAACCGCGGAAAGGTGAATCGAAGCAATTGGACTCGGAAAGTAGATCAACCGGATTGAAATGAGTAGTGGCAACGGACACAAAGTGGATGCACCCAGTTACCAATCCGGAGGAAATCAGAGGATCCTTTGTTCCCATTACGTCACTAATTCAACGACTCACCTAGACTTCATGCACCGAGAGAATCGCGTTCACAAACGTGTGACATTCACTGTAGGCCTAGCAAAACAGAGCAACAATTATAAAAACAAAGAAGACACAATGGAAAAGTGACCAATCGTTACTCGAGCAAAAGGCCCCAAATCATGCTGATGGTAGGCGCCGGGTCGATCAGTAAGCCTGTAGAATACGATGAGGTGCAATTATGAAACGATGATGTATGTGAAAAGAAAACGTTAACTTCCAATCGCATAGAACAAAGAGACAGTTATGTAACAATGTAGAATGTGGAAAGAGTTATTTAGTAGCTAAAACAATGGATCGCGACATCCGTCGAGTAGGGGACGAGTAATAAAAGCAATGAGTCTCCAGCTAACCCGATGAATTTAGCTATGATTATTGTATAGTTTAAGCAAGTTGTATTCCTGTTGAACGCAATCAAGGAGAACCACAAGAGAATGCTACAACCAATAAAGGCGAATGCGTGTAGTCACAAACTTAAAGCTTAAACCATGGAAAAGTGAGAGCACCTCAAACCCCACTTTTTGAAATGCTTCATAAAAGAGCGTGTGCGGGAAAGGATCGGTTTGAGGGCAAAAGAACACGATTACTTGGCTGTGTACGACCTAGCTGTGATTTGGTCGGTTACCTGTAGATGAGGAAAGACAAGCACAGTAGCTCGCAATTTATCATCGTGAGGAGAAAAAGACGATATCTTTGCAGTTGGGGGTGCTAAATGCAAGGAATTTGGAGGGTGATCGTTTAATCCTCGTTGAATCAGCACACATTGGCGATGGCAGCCATACATCCTAAGACAACATGAACGGAATAGTTCCATCCAAAAATATGGCATGGAATATGTTGCGACTGCGAGTAGCCTTCACAAACGATTGCGGTGTTATGAACAAGCGCGATGACCTTCGTCGTTTCGTTGCATCTGAGCGGCCAGACGTAGTGGGACTCGCAGAGACATGGTTGCATTCAGAGGTATACACCCAGGAACTTGAACTCAACAGTTACTTGCACCTCCGATACGATAGACTAAGGAATGCCCGCGATGGTGCCTTGCTCTACATCCGATCTTCCCTGCGTGGGAGACTTGTGAGCACCTACCGAAGTGACGATGGTTTGTGTGAGCTACTGTGGTGCTCCATCCACCTCAGGCGCGGAGAACTACTTGTGGGCGCAGTTTATCGCAGCCCTGAGTCGTTGTTTCGATTGGCTGCCCGTTCTTCGAGTCCACATGAGTGGTCCACACTTTCTACTTATAGGCGACTTTAACTGTCCTCGAATACGATGGCCCGATGTGCATTTGATGCCTGAACATAGTGAGGTTGAAGCAAAGTTCGTGGATTTGGTACTTGAAACTGGTGCATCGCAACACATATGCCAGCCAACACGCATAACACCATGCGCAACCCCGTCCTGTCTCGACCTGATGTTAACGAGCTACGAACAAGGAATGCATGACGTTCGGATCCTGAAGCCCCTGGTTACAAGTGACCACTCAGTGGTCACAACTGATATGGAATTGCCTTTGCCGTATTCACGTCCACTAGAACCAGCTTAAAACTACTGGAAAACGGACTTCGACGGTCTGGCTCGAGCCGCGAGCAAACTGCATGGGTCTCTGTCACGAGCTGCATCTGTGGCTGTTAGACATGTATAAAAGAGAGATCGACATCACCGTGTTCCAGATGTTTGCCTTTGAAATGTCAGAAGGTTGGATCGATTAAGCCTCATTGGTGTGACAAAGAATATGGAAATCTGGCTCGGAGGCAGCGCAGACTGTGGGACAAATTCCTTCTCTCTGGCTCTGTCAATGATTACGAAGCGTATAAAAGTCTGCGAAACCTCCGCAACAGTGCAAAAAGGAATAAGCGCGGACATTTCAAAGAGCAGCTCGTAATCGACGCGAAGACCGTCCCAAAAAGAATCTTTTTTATGTGAAGCGACGCCTGAAGCCAGCAGGTGATGTGCCAGTGCTGTATGACCCGGACGGACAGCCCCCAAACTCCAGCACTGAGGGTGCGTCCGCGTTTGCGGCGCATTTCGATTCTGCATTTTCAAATGACCAGGTGTCTGTTCCAAATTCCATGTGTACGGCTTTTACCGAACTCGACAGTCTGGATTGTGACAGTGAAGAAGTATGCCAACTACTCGCCAGCCTTGACGGCACCAAACTTACCGGACCTGATGCACTTCACCCATTGGTTCACAAGACACTTTCGGCCATCATCTCTCCTGTTGTGACTGACCTTCTCAACAGGTCGTAGTCCGAAGGATCGTTGCCGATTGAATATAAATGTTCAGTGGTGAAGTTTATTCCGAAAAACGGCGACCCTAGTAAAGTAGACAACTATAGACCAATTTGTCTGACACCTATTTTCGCAAAGGATGCTGTGAAAATCGTAAAGTGATTATTGCAGTTGCTGCAGTCAAAAGAAGTCCTGACGCCCGCACAGCACGGTTTTATGCAAGGCCCCTCATGCATTACAAACGTCCTTGTGATGAGGCATGGGTGGTTGAAAGCAGTAAGCAAGAGGAAGTCTGTCGAGGTGATATTCATCGATTAACGTAAAGTGCTCGACAAGGTCAGCCATGAAGCACTCCTTCACAAACTCAGAAAGTGCGGTGTCGGTGGCTCACTGAATCGGTGGATTCACGACTTTCTTGTTCGACGAAAGTGGAGGGTAAAGCTCGACGACCATCCAAATGACGGACATCCCTCTACAAGTGACGTGCCTCAAGACACTGTGCTGGGGCCCACTCTCTTCCAGATCCACATCAACCTCAGCTTCTCCGGTCGTCGTGTGTCTTGTCTGAGGATGATATGAAGATTTGGAGAGAAATTAACGCTCCCGACGACTGTGGCGTACTTCAGCAAGACCTCAACCGCCTATCCACATGGTTGCAGAAGTTCATCTTCAGGTCAATCAAGCCAAGTCGGGATTTATCAGCCAGAGGAAGGGTGCTGAGGACCGAACCTACACCCTTGACGGCCAACGGCTACACCGCACACCCTCGGAGAAGGACCTAGGCGTACTCTCGCGCTACGACTCGAATTTCGTGGCCAACACGAACAGGTTATATCGTAACGGACTGCGGATGCATTGGGCGCTCAAACGTAGCATCGGTACATGGTCTGAAGAGGTTGCCACTCGCCTCTTCTCTTCCATCATTAGACCAATGCTAGAGTACGGTTCACCCGCCTACTTTTCGATTACCAAATGCGAGGCACAAAATATCGTACGGGTCCAACACGTTGCTACCAGGCTCATCCCGAGGTTACGTGGCTTGGGGTATGAAGACCGGTGCGAGAAATTAGCACTCTACGCCTTGTCCTACCGTCGGGTGAGAGTCGACCTCATTATGACCTACCGTATCCTACGTCTCGGTGACTTCCCAATGCTGAGGCCAATGCTGCACTTACGAGGGCCATGCAGTACACGCGGACACAGATACAAACTTGTTGTGCCGGATGTGAAGCGAGTTCCTAACCCGTGTGGCACTTGCAGTGTGACCACACGACTTCCAACCTTTGACGTAGTGGGGTCTCGAGAAAATTCGTCTCGCCATAACTCATGCCCGGCGTAGTGAATCATTTGATCTATAATTAAGGGGGTGTGTGAAGTAGGCAAAAGCACACACAGTCTCTCTCTGGGTCGGGGTGCGGTCGTGGAGACACGTTCATCTCGCAATAGGTGCGCCACAAATTGGATGAGTTTCCATCAGCGTCTATCCGACTGCAAAGCTTCGCGCAAGCGTGATCGCGTAACCGGTCCGAATTGCGTAATCGTCTGCTCGACGTGTGGGAAAGAAACTAAGCGAGCGTTCACTTGGATGCGGCCAAATAAAAGGGAGTCCATAGCAGGAACGCAAAGATTTATAGGCAAACTATCAGTAGTCAACAGAGTGTGAGTGGAAAAACAAACTCAGGTAAAATTAGCTTACCGAAGATTCTTAACACAACCAGCTCACCACAATTCTGAGAAGGTGAAATAACAACAACTGATGACGTGAACTCACCATGGAGAACTTGACACGATTGACCATTTGGTTAGCCAGCAAAAGCGATAGCGCTTGACTGAGTTGCTGACGAGGATATTGGCGAAGAACTCGGTGAAACGTGGCACCGAGGAAGGGGAGACCGGATTCCTTTACTGCACGAAACGACGCCTGGAAAAGAAGAACAAAAGAGAAAAGATGAATGGATAAAGGAACAATAACACATGGCAGAAATGAGGGCATGTTACAGAAATGGTGCCCCGCAAAGAGAGACATACGAGGAAACGTTCAGATACAATGCACTAACCAGAACGTAGTTGTACAACGCGTGGACGACAACTGCTACTCGGCTCTTGCCTACGTCATGAAGGTGTGACGAGGACTCCGGTTTATCATTCAAAGTAAAGAAAGTGAATCGCTTCTCCAACTCGGCACGTGTCTCATAGGGATGAATGGCGACCGGGGCTTGTATCGGATCGGGGAAAGGTGTCGTAACACCGGCCTCTTCCGTGGCTTCTTGTTGATCCTTGACGGGAGTAGCGTGACCTTCAAACGCTAAACGTGGAAGAAAAGGAGATCATGGATGAAGAACTTTGGAGTGTAGAACTCAATGGAAATAGGCCAAACTAAGCAAAACGATTCTTGTGAGGCAAACAACTGCTAACCTTTAGCTGTTTCGGTAACAGTCCCAGTGAACGAACTGCGTGAGGTTCGTAACAAAACATGATCTGGGGAGAGACTGGACAGCGAAATTTACGCAACTCAAGAGACTTAACAAAGGAATACTACCCACCCTAGGTTGGGGCCCGTCAAGCTGCGCTACAAGAAGCCGTGTACCGAGTGAGGTGAATTCAGTAAAAGACATGTGCAAAATTGGGAGGCGACGTGAGAGAGTTTCGTCAATCTCACAGTTAGTAGGAAACGAGAATAGATTTGGTCAGTGCTTCCTCGACGTACCTTATGCGCTGTGGCTGCACCAAGTTGGGCGGAACCGAGAGGTGGCCAGTTTGTGACGCGGCATAGAGGCATGAAGAAATTGACTGAAAGACTTGGTTAGGTTGACGCATGTCGTATTCGTGGATGGGGGCCTCGGAATGGCCAACGTCAGTGTTTGGAGACCGTACCAGACAGGATGAAGTTTCGCAGTCAGAGATGTTCCTGCATTCGGTTTCTTGCATCTGATTGTTAAGTTGCGTTCCACTCTGACTAGTTTAACGAACCTACTTGGCTAGATTTTCTTCACATTCTATTTGCATTCAACCACACTATGTTGCTGTTGCCACTTATGGTTATTCTTGCGATGTGAGTAGTGGCAGCTGGATCCACCGCACTCTGATGCTCGGATCATAGTTGTTCAACTAAACTGAACTGCAAAGAGCACTCAAGGGGTTTACTAGAATAGTGCAATAAGTTGCGGGATGCAAAATGTTTTAAAATAAAATAAGCAATACATTTTCTCGAAGTACGCTGCACCAGCGTTCATGCACAGTTCCAAGCGCTCAAACCATTTGGAGTAGCAGCTAGACTATACCGAAACGGGAGACCACACAAGCAGCTTAAGAAAAGCTTCTACTGCAGCCACTGGAGATTGTAGCGCATACCACGCATCGTACGCATGACAATTGGGAACACAAAATAGTCAAACGGTGTCAGGTCTAAACTGTAAGGTGCATGACCAAGCTCCTGGATGCGTTCTCTGACAAGAAATGCTACGATGACATAGGAGCTGTGTGCATGTGAGTTGTCATGGTACAGCAAGGTCGCTCGTGCTTCAGTCCTTGGACGACGCCTGACTACAGATTCCAGCAGTGGCATACCAGTCTCCGGTGACTGTGCGTTGCCATATGAGCAGTACAGTATCCACATGACACAGCGACCATCTTCTTCCCATACTGCGCTCACACCGGAAATTCTGAGGCGGCGCCCAACCAACGACGTACGCTGAGCCCATTGTCGCTTGATCCATGGGTCGTAACTGTTCACCCAGGTCTCATCACCACTGAGGATCTCCCAAACAGCATTGGAACGTTCACAATCAAACCTTGCAAGCATTGTGCAGTATCAAATCACTCGAGCTGCTTTCTGATTCTCAATGAGCTGATGGGGTACTCAGCGTGCACAAACTTTTCTGAGGCTGCGGTTCTCATGGTGCGGATGGATCTCGATGACATATCGATTGCTTTCCCCAGCTTAAGTGTATCCCTCCAGCACTGCTTGCACAGCAGCAATGTTATCCGCCTTGGTGCGATCCAGAGGTCGCCCACATCGTGCCTCATGATTCAGAGACCGCACGCCACACCTGAATTCCGAAAACAACTCAAACACGGTGGTTCTTGAAGGCGCATCAGTAGCAAACGCAGCATGCACTCGCTTAACATTGTGATGCTTTCAACCATATGTGTAGTGATCAACCCCTCCAGTGATATCGACTGAGTTTCATACTTACAGACAGAGTATAGCGATCCTTATGACCTGTGAGTTGTGCAGCACGGCTGTTATGAAGTTCAGTTAGTTGAAATCACTGAACAATGTTCAGAATGGATTACAGTTCACGTTTTCCTTACCAGATTATCTGCACCTAATCTGTGTACTGCGTATCCGGAAACGTATTGTTCTAGGCTTGTAGGCAGTCATCAGAACTGGAATCAGACAAAGGGTTCGTAAATAGCCAGAAAAGCACTGAGCAGCGATTCAACACTGTTAACGCGGATACCACCTGCTGGACGAACTGTTCTCTGAGCTTGGCAATTTAGTCGCAAACGTCTCATAACCTATCGAGGTGATATCATCAGTGTATCTGTGTGAAGCGTAACGTAGCGGAGTGATGCGTGAGCAGGTGTGAAACGGGTACTCGTGCGCGTGCGTTTCTATATGTCGTCCTCTTTGGTCGTCTGGGCAGGTATCAGTTGAAAATGGTCTCTCCGACCTATGGCCTCGTCGCCATGGCCCGTTTGCTTTCGCTGCTGAAAATTGTCGCATGAGCTGCTCGTATGGTATCCTCCTCCATTAGGAGTATTCGACCGCGATAGTGGCTCTTTGTTCGTGGATTTGAGTAGACAGCATCCACTTCAACGTCTCAATTTACTGATTGACTCGTGGAGTGCAATGTTTCAAAGGATTCTCTTGCCCACTTCGTATTCCCACGTGCGAGAATAGTTAGATTTCCTAGACGAAAGTGATGGCTTGTTCTAGCCTGGTGTATAGGAACAGAGGAGTGTGAACCGCGCCTTCTTCTGGCCTTTGTGTGCTGTGATTGGTGTATAAGTTTTTTCCACTTTTTAATCCGTTTTGGGTAGCATTCTGGTGCGGTGCAGAAAATTTTAAAAGCTTCCAAGTTGTGACCTCAGAAGCTTTTAATGTTCTCTTCTTGTTTGGCCGACATAGGGCCAATCAGATTCGCTTTACTTTAGCTGGTAAATGACAAGGGTTTGACTGGCCTGTTCGATTTTATCCTTCAGTCTTGAAAGCAATCCTCTCAGGGTAGCGCTCCGCTTGTGTGCTACGGTGATTCTTCTGTGTGGATGTAGTAATGTGCTGTTAGTTCAGAAACGCTTTTCATGCATGGAAGTACTACCAGTTTATTTGTTTGTTCTTGCCGCTGCGGAGGCGTTCTCCTCTTCAGGTTGAAGGCAACGAAATTACCAAACTCAGCGAACAGTTCGTATGACAAACGCACAACCTGTGCGCATACTACCTAATCCGAGTGGCAGTAGACTTAGTGATCCTGATTACACAAATAAGTGATTTTACAACTCCTACGCGGACATGAATCTAGCAAATACCATCTGAACGCCCCGGATTGCTTATAATGCAACAAGTTGATTAACGGAAGAGGTTGAACAGGCCACTGCATCCTCGGCACGGACATTTAATTGCAGCTTAGTGGAGAATGATTTACAATAAATCAGAGCTAGTAACTTAACCATATCGATCATTACTGACCATCGTGGTTCTCAGTGATCTTAACCACCGAGTTCTAGTCCCAAACGAATTAGATGGAATGCGTACCTCTGATGATCCCCGTGACGTTGAAAAGGCCGTCCAGAGCTTTTCTGGAGGTATGTTGGTCACCGAAATAGGCACACTCGTCAGGAATTCAAAAGAAAATGTTGACAATATTGTAAAAAAGATGTCTGTCGAGTTACGAGTGTAAATGACGCTTAGTAAACTCCAGGACGGCACCGAGTCAAACATTTCGATGAAGTTGACTACTGAGAAGGGGATAAAAAACGGTGGTGCGACTCATCCAGGTAACAAACTGCGATTGACGAAAGGAAGTACGATAAGTAAATAATAATAGTAATAATAGGCATGGACAACAGTTAAAATCAGCAGATGGAATAGGGAAGTAAGGAAACGAATGCAAGAACAATATTGGGATTGGGGTTTTGTTATGGTCCTTAAGGCGTCCTACCATCGGGGCGACCGATTCCGAAGATCCCATTCGCGGTGACAAGCAGCAACTCGGCTCAGCCTTTCGGCGAGATTCTTTGTGTCTCTTTAACGTGTCATTGACTGGCCACTTCGGGGTTTTCCAACTAGGCTCAGTAGTGGAGAATAATCTATACCCGTGGCTTTAAATTGACGACCACTTTGTACCGGTTATTTCAAGATGAACACATTGCATCGTATGGCTTTAGAAAGCCATCCGAGGTTTGGCGGTGAGTGTGGTACACTCCAGACTTTCAATGGCCAAATTCAACCAATTTACAGACACATAGGGAACAGATTATTGATTCTATAAGTAAACAAAAGCCAGTATCAAACGAGGAAACGTTTAGTTTGGATAAAGTGCACAAGTTGACACCGATAGGAAGTTAGGTCACACGTGTCTGATCCACACTGAATCGGTGTCTGGTGAGAGTTCCAATACCGATTGCATAGCGTTGGTAGAAAGCTAAGACAGGTACGAAGGAGAGGGCACTGCTGTGGCGAGCAACATATGCCGTTCCAAATTATCTGAAGCAAAGGTCCAAGAGAGGACCTAGTGATCGCTGATCCCAGACTCAGACCCGCCGGTAGGGAACCATTTTGGACAGAAATCTTCACCGATGTGGAGACGGCGATGACTTCCTTGTTTCGAAAGTTACGATGATCGGTGAACTGCCTGAGTAGCGTGTTTATGAGCGATGTGCGATGGAGCTTCGATAAAGTTCGCACAATGTCTCAAAGAGTATGATGATGAAGAGCAATCACTTGAAGGAATATTCGAGTGTGTATTGGCGACGAACAATGGAAAACGGGAACAAAAGTGCTACACGGTGGTTGCTGAGGTAAACAAATCAGAGAAGAAGAGGTGATGAGAACCAAAAGCTGGAACACACCGCCTGACATAATTAACGATTTATCCAACTATCCAATGTAAAGGGAAATGCTGACCTTGGATAAGGTGTATCAAAGAGGACTCACGAGGTCTGCCTTGCTGGATAAGAGCCAATCGTATCCGATTGAGACGTGGAACGAATTCAGAGATGATTCGATCGACCAACTCACAAAACAAATGCGACGCTTCATTCCACTGGTCACGAATGAAAAGGTGCCACTTTTTCCAACCAAAATTGTACTAGTAGAGTAATGTGAATGAGAGAGTTTAAGAGAAGCGTCTATGCAGGAATTGAGAGCAAAGTATAAAGGTCTACCATCTGGACATAGACGGACAAACAGAGTGGATGGTACGAAAAGGTTGATATCAGTAAAATTCAGCCAAATTGCACTTGAATACTATTGGTCAATTATGCTCTGTGCTCCGAAAGACTGTGGATACAGATACGATGTCTGAAGTCGTTACGAGAGAAATTGCGTACAAAGATCGGGATAACGGGATACAATATTAGGAGCGTGAGAAAAGCCACACATCTTCGAAAAAAGTTGAAATTCATAAGTAAGGGCTCGAAGGCAGGGATGATACAAGTGTCATGATTGTATCACACCAAGTAGAGTCTAAAAGCTGAGTTGGCTGGGACCTGGAGCTCCCGTCCAGGAGAGTGGCACTTAACGAAGCGGCTCATCTTCTTTTTTTAGATTCCTTATACTCTATGCAAATTTACAAATCTGATAAGTGTTACCGAAAAGAAACCTTGCACTGAACAATTTGATTCATGTTATCAAACAAGGGTTTTTTGGCATTGCAGATACATCTCACGTGTTTCATGTATTTTCTTCCTATGGAGAGGCTTTTGCTTTTCGCAAAACATCATTTTTTACATTATCTACTGAAGATATATCCATTTAGCAAGAAAAACCTGGTAGATGTTTCGTTTAATCAACTTCCAAGGTCACTGAGAGCCATTTACGTTATCCACCTTTTGAATACAAACGCTGAGATACGGCGCAAGATCATCGAGCTAATGTCTTTGGACACAACATTTTACATCAACTGAAATGAATTATGAAGAAACCTTTTAATAAAACATTTACCGTCTTGAATGGATGCAAATCCCGAAGATTTAGATCGGCACTATGGGGTCGTTGCTCCATCGAGTTATGACAGTGCACAATTCAGATCTTTTTCCCTATTTGTAAACTAGAACATTTTTGGTGGTACCCGTTTAGTACTTTTACAGATGATGATTGAAATTCTGAAAATGCATCCATTTGGATAAGTAAAATTTATGCTGACTTGATTTGACTTCGTATGTTTTGCTGGTCACTTTGGAGTTTAGGCAATTAGATGCAATGTCGAACAACAAGTGTCAAGGCAACAAATTGGTAGGTATGCAAAGTATACGAGCGAACTAACGGAGACGATTCGAGCTCAACAGACCATCGTGGTTGGTCAAATACGACGAAGAGGTCAGTCAAATTCCATTACTTGTAGCCGGCAAAATTGCCTGGCTTAAGCGAAAAAGTATGGAGAATGCCACAAAGATAGACATGATAAGCCGATAGCATGTGCACAACCCAAGATCCAGTGTGCGTCGACACACAGTGTAACATCAGAGAATGTGCGATGGTCCGATATGTAGCCTGTACGTGAAGAGTGAATCCCAGATGAGCAATTCCGCTAGTAAATACACTTAATTTGGTGATTGGCACCAACACTGCGTAGAGAAGTGGTTTGCAACCTTTCTGAGATCGTTATCCACAAAGTGGGTTTCATAGAAACAATTACCCCCAAGTGTTATTTTAAAAGGCCAAGTAGTTATTAGCAATTGCAAACGATTGTTTCCAAACCTCTCTGAACTCATGACTACTCGATCGGTTCCAAGTATCTTCCAAGAATTTGGAATTGCAATTCTTGCTTCAAGTTAAAGGAAATGAAGGATATAACCAATAACATTCGATCAGTAAAATAAAGAAAAAACCTGTTTTTGATCAGCTTTTTATTAAACCGAGAGGTGTTGTAAGTTAATGTGATTGTTGAAAGTGCTTGGTTCTAACAATTTTTGATATATTCAGTGAGGTTTCTACTAATACACATGATAACTTGTGCTCCTAGTTCATTCAATTCCCAGCTTTGTCGCGTGATTGCTGATCAAACACGAATCGACATCAGTGGCTTATTTGCTTCAAACAACACCGCAAAGTCCCTCCTGGATGACAACTTCCCATCACTAATGTGTACCTATATAGTTAGTCCCAGAAGTCTTGTCTCTTTTTCCTGTGACTCGGGGATCAAGGGTCATGCCTTCGGGTGAGAGAAGAGCGCACTAAATTGCCAACTGTCCAATAGTAAATGTTGGTCTCTCCCAACATGTCCCTCACCCGGTCACATGGGTGTGAACGATCGGAGTGATGGCCGTATGCCTGCATCTGGGTACAGGTGTAGTTGCCAGCCTCGTCCATCGTGAAAACGCTGGATGGGTACGGATTGTTGAGTTGAAGTCAACCTAGGGCATGCCACAGGGTAAGTTCACCGAAGACAGGCGTGCAAAATCAGGACAGCAGTTCATTAATACCGGGCTACTGCAGTATAATTGTGATTGTACTAGGACAGGCCTAACTGGCCTGAGCAAGCGGTGTTCAATAGATGCCCATTGTTATCCCAGCTTATGACAAAAGAGTTATTGGCGACGCTCTTTTAGACTGAAAGTCAGCTTCCAACAACCTACCTTATCAAAAGAGGCATTCCTTACAAGTAGGTCTTGCAAATATGAAATGTTACGTTTTGAGTAAGGAGTCTTGAAAAGCTATGCCGCCGAGAGACTACTCGCTGCCGCATAGCCTATTCTCTCGTCACGGTCTCGATCGCAATTGCAGGAAACAAGTGAGGTTACACTGCCCAATTTGTTTCAGAATGACCGTGAGGAGACCGAAAATGGTCTTCACTGCCGCACATGAGTGTTCATTGCAACATATTCACTGATGAGGAAATATTCCACTAGCATGGAACTGAGAAGCTGCATTTCTAGGCAATATCTAATCCTCACGGATACTGAGATTCACGTATTCTACAAAGCGCCGATGTCATTGGACAGTTATCTCTGTGGTAACTTTTCTGAAACACGTTGCTGCAAACTCCGAATAGGAGAGTCAAAAGCATCGATAAGCCATGCTTTCACGGCCTGTATTCTCATTGAAAAGTTGTTGGAGCATTTTCCTTCCCCTTTATGTGACCGGTATGCTATTGCTTAGAAGCCCTCATCCCACGCCAGAGTCTGTACGCCGATGAGGACGATAAAAATACAAAACCGCATAGGCTCTTCTCCCAACACAATCTCATTCATATCCACCCCGTATTCCTTAGGCATAACCATGAAAAACAAGTATTGGCATTATGAAGCAAGTTACATAGAAGTGGTCAGTCTAAACACTGTCGAATCAGCTTTGCACGTTGAATGCATTCTGGCCTGACGCACAGTTGGCACTATTTGCCCGTGCACCAATGTAGTCCGGAAATCAGTGATAACGGTGAATACATATATTAAGATAAACAGCATAAAACGGTGATATGTCCGTCAAGGAAGAGGATGCTCAACGTGCACGCCGGCGTTCTACTTGCTGTGCAGAATTCGTCTCAGGCAATTGGCTTTAGGATTTCGCAAAGTATCCTTGTTGATGGCGCGACTTTCCTTTACAATACTGTCTTTCAGTTGTTCCAGTGAAATAGGCGTTGTCTTGTATACTATTGTTTTCAAATAACCCCATAAGAAGAAGTGTAAGCGGTTCAAATCTGGTGATTGAGCAGGCCAATCCTTTGGACCTCCGCGACCGATGCAACAGTGACCGAACACCTCGTTAAGGCAATCCCGCACCGTTTGTGCATAATGAGCAGGTGCACCATAGTGAAGCTATAACGGCTGAAGCGAAGTATCGAAATCGCCAAAGAAAATCGATTGTGAAAATATCTCCATTTAGTAGCTACACATCTTCACTACATCGCTAAAGTACAACCCTTAGCCTATAAATAATGACTCTGCAGCCTATGCAGTACTGCAAAGAATACTCAAGAGCGAAGTTGTTAACTTTATGACACCAATGCACAGATCAACCAATTGCAGCATGACTTTATTTTAAGCCGATCCTACGTTACTTGCCAACTGCTGTCCTTTCACCATGTGAGAATCATGATTGACAGCGGAATAGCGGTAATCCTAGTTGACTGACTTGGTAAACACGAAGTATTGGCACCTAATGGCGTCCATCGCTTAGACTGACCACTTCTATGCAACTTGGTGCACAATGCCATTACTTGTATTTCATGTTTATGCCTAAGGAATACGGGGAGGATGTGAACGAGACCGTGTAGTGAGAATCGGCTAAGCGGTTTCGTATTTGTATCATGTTCATCGGCGTACAGCCTCCGGCAATTCATTCATAACACCCACCTGAGGAACCATTAGAATAAGATTGGCAACACAGTATACCCCGCTATAATGCCACATTAACATCTTCGCCCTGTGAGTGTGCTAGCTGTGGAATGTCATTCACTGGTATGCAATCTCGGTCAACATTGCAGTAGCGAATAAACTTCAGGCGCTGTGTTTACGTCATTCGTGTGTATGCACTCACGATCATTTCGTTGCATGACCCCACTCTGTTTGATCACGCTTATAAGTTATCATCATGGCATCCCAACAACATTTGGCCATCACAAATCTCTTAGCAGCTTCGACATTTTGAGTGCGGCGATTTTTTTCGTGAATGACCTCACGGCCGGTTGTTCTGTCCGCCCATCCAGCGTTGACACGATGCACCATAGTAGCCCGGTACTGATGCACTCCTGTCTTCGTTCCAACCAGCCCGAAACACGGTGTGTCGATCGGTGAACTCGCCCTGTGGCATGCCCTAGGTTGACTTCAACTAAACGATCCGTAACCATCCAGCGTTTCACGATGGACGAGGCTGGCAAATACACCTGTACCCAGATGCAGGCATACGGCTATCACTCCGGTCGTTCACATCCATGTGACCGGATGAGGGACATGTTGGGAGAGACCAACATTTACTATTGGACAGTTGGCAATTTAGTGCGCTCTTCTCTCACCCGAAGGCATGACCCTTGATCCCCGAGTCACAGGAAAAAGAGACAAGACTTCTGGGACTAACTGTACACACCCTGAACACTAATCGCCAGCTTTATCCGTTCTACCTTGTGAACATTTGCTCACTCCTTTGCTTGGTCAGCCGACATATACCCCTACCTTAGTGTTTAATCAACTGTGTAATTCGACCCGACAAACCGCTGCCTGACTCGAAAGTACAACCATCGAGGTGCGAGCCGATAGAGTTGCCAAATAGCTGCGCTACAGTGCAGGCTTGTAAACGTAATTTAGGTAGGAAATTGTATTACGGAAAGTTATCTAAGGATTAGTCACCGATGGCTAATCAATAGAGATTAAAGAGTGTGTGACATACTTTGTTACATATGACTTTGTTATTCATTTTGTTTGGTGACAGACTGACGAGCAAATCCACGTACTTACATTTACCAATTGTAAAATTCAATTTTACCTTCAGGTGAAGAACCACTGATGTAGAATAATGCATACCTGGTACGGTGGGCTCCTCGTCCCAGATACTGTTTCGCCCGCTGTGAACTCTTCCTACCCCGCGTTCACACTCATCAGACCTACATGAACATTGAGAATTCGTCGCACCACACTATCGATTTCGTTCCCAATGTTTCAAGTCTCTTTAGTTTTACACTTGGCATTGAGT